GTCCACATGAGTGGCCGAACCCAGGGTTTCCCAGCAGAACATCACACACCAGAGCAACATACTTTTATTATTTGGGTATAAAGACGAATACATGACGATATGGACACAAATTGCCCTAATTCAATATTAGAAAACACCTGCATGACGTGCATGCATCTTGTTGCATATTCATATGAAGTTGTTTATCCTTCGATAGACATCTTCATATGAATATGCAACAAGACGCATCATATAATTTCCCCGCTTGCTATGGCCAACAGGTGGTAATTGTCTCATCCAACATTAACATATTTCTCAAACAGCTTTCCTGAGGATAAAAAGCTCCATTTAGTGGCTAGCACTTATTTTAAGTATAGCACTTGACGGATAATAACAGCGACACCGAAAACGAAGGTGTGCTGTGTAACAAAACATCTTTCATTAAGGCTTCTTTTCTTTCCTGCTTTTTTTTTTTTAGAGCGTTACAACACTGAATCTACTAACGAAAAATTTCAATAAGGTCTCACAGTGTGCTCCCCTAATAAAGGCTTTTCACTGTGGAGAGTGCATAGGCGTACAGAAACACATGAGTGCAATGTGACGTTCAGGCCGCAGGAGTGCAGATAAGAATATGTCTGGGTTCAGGCTGACCTGGAAGCCACAGTCAATGATGCTGACAGACAATAAAAGACACAATGATGCGGTTTGTCTGAGCTCATTAAAGGTAAAGGGTACAGGCTATTAAAAGGCCTCTATGTGAACACAGAATCCAGCTTGGTGATATAGCTGAAGAAATATTCTCTTTATTTCTTCATATAAATAATAAACAAAATAGAACTTATTTAACTATATGTTATAACTAACTGATTAATAACTATATATATATAAATACATAATGTATAATATTCTAATCAATATTATATAAACTACTACCGGTATTTAAAAGTTTGGGGTCCGTAAAAGAAATACTTTTATTCGGCAAGCATGCATTAAATTAATTCAAAAGTGACAGTAAAGCTAAGGCATTTATATAATGTTACAAAAGATTTCTATTTCAAATGAACGCTGTTCAATTGATGTACATTTGTTGAATGCAGAATCCTGTAAAGATGTTACCTTAATATTTCCACAAAAAAAACATAAGAAATGTCTCTTGATCACCAAATCAGCATATTAGAATGATTTCTGAAAGATCTTGACGCGAAAGAAAATTCTGCTGAAAATTCAGCTTCACCATTACAATAATTAATTATACAATATAACTGTTTTACATGTATTGTTGATCAAATAAATGCAAAACAAATTGAAATGTTTGCTTTTGAAATCACTTTTCTTAGTGAAACTTTTGAACGATATATATATTATAAAATACATGTTTATTAACCTGATGCCATTTTTATTATCAAAGTTTATCAGAGCTATTACAATGTCTTAACACTCTGAGTCTTGAAATTAGTCTTTTAGTCAATCCTTTGGAGACTTAAACCAAAACTGTGAATTAATATCATTGCAGTATAGTGTTACTGTACATTTTGAATTGCCAGGAAAAGGGCGCAATATTTTCAATAAATCATCTGGCTCTAGTCCAGAGCTCTCTCAAACACTGAATGAAGGCTAACCTATCAGCAGCTAAATATCTGTGCCAAATGGTAGACCATCAAACATGTGACATAGACCACAAACATTAATACGATAGATCAAAATGCATTGCTTCAATGTGCTTTTTCTGCACCACCTATCAATGTGTCTTGTTAGACTTCTGGAGATCTAGTTTATTTTAAACGTGTTCAGTGGAGAAACTGTCTTTATACTTGCTAATACTTACACAAGATCACAAAATGAGATCTACATGGAAATGGCATGTCAGATTAAAGAAATCAAATCCCCAATCACACCAAATACAGCTATTCAAGGGTGGAATACAAGGATATTGAACCCATGTCAAAGATGAGAACTAATGGCATTTGAAGCAAGCATTTAGCCAAAGTTTGTGCATTGCAAACGACACTGAACAACAAGAGGAAAAACAATTACACAAGCTATGTTGCAAATGGAGAATATATTAGCAGTACGTGTAAAAAAAAAATCTTGGGTGATGTCTGAACAATCTGGCCCATTCATGCAGCACATGCCATGCCTGCAGCCCAGGGATTTAGACGATCAGCTGAGTGCAGCCTCCACTACAATACAACATTGTTCTCAAACCAAACGCTGCTTGTTTGCCTTCAAACTCTGCGGTGCGGCTTATCGGAGGAGCACAGCTCCAAATCTCCCTCTGAGCTTGCAAACTGAAATCAGTGTGTGTCCATTTCCTATACTGCACTGCACACTGTCAAACAAGCACTACGCTTGCCAAAAAGCCTTTTGAAATGCTGGTTTGAACTTTGAACAGGAGCTGAGGTAAGAAACAGAGATGAACGGGAAAAGGATCTTACACAACTTGAGAATAAACCTTACAGAAAAATACAATCAATGCCTTAAACACTCTAAAACTGTAAAAGTGGACCTTTAGCCTATGCCAAACTTAAATGTTAAATTACATGACAAACTATTAAAGCAAGAGAAATTTATTTTTAAAGCAAGACAGTACAAGCACATAGAACTTGAAGTTTAAATTATAAATGTTCAAATGAAGACTTCATGATTGTCAAGTATTAGCAGAACATGAAAATGTATGATCATTTGTTTGAAAATGTCACTAGATGTGATATTTTGTGTGCAATGCAATGACACATCATATATTTCAACTGTGACATAAAATCTATCATTTTAAATTCCACATCCCTTTCGATGTGGAACCTGTGAAGCATCACAGCATCAAACGGGGACACTCTTTCCTTTTCAACACTTATCTACTCTCCCTCATCACTGAGATGCATGCACGTGAAACAAACCACGGCCCGGCTTCTTTGAGACTTCTGTGAAATCTGTGTGCTTTGATAAGATTCACTGTAATATGTTACTTGTTAACATGAAATTTGTCTTGGTCTTGTCACCCTGACAACTGCAAAATCAACCAAGTGATTCTGTCGACCTTTTCTACTGAAGACAATATAAAAATCATGTTCCGTCTTGTTTTTAATTTACTAAGATTCTAAGATTGTCTATCAGAATTCTCTTGAACTGCAAATCCCAGAATGGGTTCACACACACTGCTGTTCAAAAGTTCAGTCATAGTCAGTACGTTTTTTTTTTAATGTTTTTTGAGGCATTTTATGCCCACTCGGGCTGCATTTATTTAATCCTTAATTAAGTAATTAATTACAAGTAATGTGCATTACGTACTGAGATTACTTTTTGATGTTACGAGTAAAGAAACGCATTACAATAACGTGCATTACGAAATCAGATTACTTTTTGATCTAACAAGTAATGCATTACAAGTAACATGCATTACGTAAACAGATTACTTTTTGATGTTACGAGTAAATAAATGCATTACAAGCAACATTCATTACGTAATTAGATTACTTTTTTGATGAAATGAGTAAAGTAATGCATTACAAGTCACATAAATTATGTAATTACATAACTTTTTTAGATGTCAATGAAAATTACATTCTAATAATACAAATACATTTATTTACAGTCAAAAAAAGTTACTGCAGATAAAGTATTTTCGAAAACAATATTCACAGTATAAGTATGAATTGTAGCTGAAATATAGCCATTGATGCATGAGGTCCACTATAGTGGACAGATGATAAATCTGATTTTTCTCCCAATCTAAGATCAAAACTTGGAAAGTTTTACTGTGATATGACTCATTAGATATTGCTTGATGCTGCAATATTTTTTTTACCTACAAGAGTCTCCTAGGATAGAAGGAATGGGTGGATATTCCGGAGCAACTTGGCATTTCTGACTGACCATTGGCCATCTTGATTTGGAGGGGGAAAAAATCAAAACACAATGGCTTACAACTTGGTTGCAATGTATAGGATGATGCACCAGGGTCCACTGAAGAGATTGGTGTGCAACTTTGCCATCAAAACCCTTGCAAATTCAAGAAAATGCTTTTTAAATAGCTGTCCACTGTGACCACTATGCGTGAAAGGGTTAAACAAATTAAATTTTTATTTAAATATTATTTCACAAAAATAAAAGTCATAATTGTGAAATATTAGAATATATCCAAATATAAAGATTTTTGATTTGAATGTTTTAAAATACCATTTATTCTTGCGATGACAGCCAAGTAGATTCATCATCAAAATGATCCTTTGAAAAATAATTCAAATGCTGATACCAGTTCTTATTATTATCATTGTTGTCAACAGTTATGCTGCTTAATATTTTTGTGGAAACTGTGAAACAGTTTTTATTCAGGATTCCATGATGAATAGAAATGTCAAAGGAGAAGCATTTATCTGAAATAGTTTTTTTTGTGTGTAATAATGTGAAAGTCATTCCCGCCACTTTTGATAAATGTAATACATCCTCGCTGAATAAAAGTAATAAATTATTTTAAAAAACTCTTACTGACCACAAACAGCGGTGTAAATGAGACTATACACTGTGTATGTGTATACTGCTCCCAAAGAAGTCATTACATTGTGTGTCAAGCTCTTTTTCCATGACCTTCTTCCCCACACATACAAAATAAAAGTAATTATGTTTAAAACCCTCCCAGCGCTGCTCACCTGCTGATTATAATTGTGAAAGCTGTGGTCACAAACAATATAAAACAAAACACGCTTGCACACACGCACATGCTTTTTTGTTGTTTTCTTATTGACTTTTGTGCACATGCTGCTTTCTGGCACACAACAGCTCAACCTTTTCTTATTTGCTGTTCCACTTTAATACATCAGTGGTTTTTGGCTTGCCATCGGAAGGCCTGAAACCACAATAAATCACCCTGATAATCATCTACTTTTTACTTACTATGCCCAAGAGGAGATACATGCTTTTCCTTAAATAATTCTGTTGCAATTTACTTGTGTAAAAACTGATGCCTGTGGCTATGTAAACTAAACGCATTAAACCCCCAGCTCGTAGGAAACATTAGGCTTACTTACCTATATAGAGAGAGGAGTCTTTCTTTCGCACATGATCATCTATGTAGGACACCCCCAGGGGCTGAACAGGCGTTGCACCGATACCCAGCAGCACCTGGGCTCCTATCAGAAGCAGGTACATCATGTTGGTGTTTGCTCTATTCCCACATGTTTCATCAGTTTTAGAGGTGTTGGAGCACACGTCTCGCCCCAATTCCTTGCTCCATGTGTCTGTGATCAAGTATTGACTGGTGAGGAATTCAGGTAATGCGGAGAGCAGCGCTCCCAAAGCCATGACAATGCCTCCGCAGCCAATTAACCGAGGACGGTGGGCTTTAGCACCAAAATAACTAACAAAGAGAATGAGGGCCAGGTTGCCGATCTCAAAGCTGCTGGCAATGACGCCCACATCAGCGCTCTGAAGATTGAAGCGCCGCTCCAGTGTGGTCAGCACGCTCACCTAAGAAATAAACAAAGCAGAAGAATTACTGTAATGTTAATCTGACAAAGATAAAGGTAATAGGTAAAATATTACCATAAAATGCATGCATGAAATTGTATAAATGATTGTGTATATATACATGCACACATTTTTTTTAAAGAAGTCTCTTATGCTCACCAAGGCTGCATTTATTTGATCATAAATTCAGAAAAAAACTGTAATATTGTGAAATATTTTTACAATTTAAAATAACCATTTTCTGTTCTAATCTATTTTAAAATGTAATTTATTCCTATGATGCAAAGCTGAATTTTCAGCATTATTTCTCCAGTCTTCACTCTTCAGTGTCACATGATCCTTCAGAAATTATTCTAATAGGATGATTTGCTGCTCATTTAGATTTTTTTTCAGGATCCTTTGATGAAGAGATTATATAAACATATATATATATATATATATATATAGTATGCTATGTTATTTTATTTGAAATATATATATATTATGACATTATACATGCCTGAGGCTGGTATTGTACTGAAGTCAAATTCCACCTTAAACAACATAACAAATCTAATTAAACTGAGAGTCATCTTGGAGAGGTACCATGTGGCGGAAAAGATCAGTGAAGAAACTGTCTTTATATTTGCTAATATTTACACAAGATCTCAAAATGAGATAAAGTTAAGCTGCATGCTACATGGAAATGACATGTTAGATTAAAGTAATAAAATCTCCAATCAAACCAAACACAGCTATTCCAACAAGGCTGGAATACAAGGATATTAAACCCATGTCAAAGAAGAGAACTAATGACACAGTAAAACAATTGTTTTGACAAATCCTTTCAATCCTCGACATGCTACTTGTTGTCACACATTAATTATCAAGGCCTATCAATTATCTATGACAGAAATAGCTGGTGGAAGGGAAATAATGCCACCAGGCAGCCTTGAAGAGGAACCACAGGACTTTAATGAAGCAGTTTTGAGCTGGAGCAACAAATATGCCATGGCTGTGAAAAGAGCATGTTACTGAGGCCACGCTCTTTACTATAATCCTATTCCTCTAGAGCGAGCCAACTCAGGCCTCTCTCAGATGCTGCACATACTGGTCTTTGCAAATCTCCCTGTGCTGCACTACAGAGATCCATTGACTGGAGAGATCATTTCAATTTGATGGATAAGATAATATTCACTCGATTAGTTGCCAAGCTCTCCGGAATTCTGATTGGTCAGTAGTGGAATTAAACAAGGTTATTAAGTGTGTTATGGCTGTTCAATTATACACTGTTGTCCATGGAAACATAACAATGCTTTCTCCTTTCTCGTGAAGAGCCTATTAAATCGAGTTCTCTTACATGCGGACAAATTCACACAAAATTATGTCAAACTGTAGTAGGTTTTGTCTTAAAGGGTTAGTTCACCCAAAAATGAAAATTCTGTCAGTAATTTCTCACCCTCATGTTGTTCCAACCCCGTAAGACTTTCGTTCATTTTCATAACACAAATTAAGATATTTTTGATTAAATCTGAGCGCTGTCTCACTCCTCCATAGGCTTCTATTGTAATTGAAACCTGCCGGCCCAGAAAGTTAGTGAAAACATCGTTAAAATAGTCCAAGTGACTACAGTGGCTCAACCTTAAGTTTATCAAGCAACGAGAATACTTCTTGTGCGCAAAAACCCCCCCAAAATAACGACTTTATTCAACTTTTCATCTACTACTGTGTGGGCCTCTGAGTGAGTTCACGTAGTGTAACAGCGCAGCGATACGTCAGAACGTAGGCTCACTTTTGGCCAGCATCACACTCATGACCAGAGTCGGCCAATAGTGAGCCTACGTTCTGACATAGCGCTGCGCTGTTACACTACGTGAACTCCAGGGCTCGCAAAATTTCAAAATCGCTGGTCCTTCGGGGAGGTTCTCTTTAGATTTTGGTAGCCCGAAATGAATTTTACTAGCCCAAATAAAAAGACAATTTTTAATGTAGAGAATTGGTTAGGAGTCAAAACATCAATCAAAAAGTTTTTCAAAACAAAAATATCAACAAGTGCGCAGCTCCGTTGTTTGTCTGACAACACTAAAAGTGTTTTTCTGATGGAATAATTCACATAGTGAAGTGTAGCAATAAATAATAACATGTTTGAAATCATGCTGAGCGCCCGTTGCCGCGGCTATCAGTTGCATGGATACAGTGTTCCCTTGTGGCTCGCGCAGTCTACACCCGGTGAAATCACAAAACAAAATGCACACAATGCTTGATACTGTAACCACTGATGAACATATTCGGTTTTGATGAGAAAAAAAAAAGATCTATACGTGTGCGGATTAGAGCCCAGAACCTCTGACGCGCTTGGCAAAAGTTTTAACCACAAGACCATTAAGGTACACAAGCAAATAGCTGATCTCGCCACTAACAATATTAGATCTCATTAACAGACTAATTAAACCCAATGTAACGTTACTATTCAAATTGATTTCTAGACATCGTAATGTTTTTTGGTTTTTTTTGCTAAAATTGTAATTGTACATACATCTGATTTTGGATTGTATTAGCAGATTTAATCAATTATCTTAATGTGTGTTCCGAAGATGAACGAAAGTCTTACAGGGTTGGAACAACATGAGGGTGAGTAATTACTAACAGAATTTTCATTTTTGGGTGAACTAACCCTTTAAGTGAACGTAAACAGTTGAAAGGAAAACGCATGTGCAACAGTATGTAGGTCAGGATATGTGCAGCTCTTAAAGTGACAGCAGCCTAATAAACCTACTGCTACCTTTGTCCTCAATGTTATTCTTAACAACAAAAGACAAAGAGAAGATCATTCACTGCTCTAGACTGGTTGAGCCCTGCTGGAGCAACTCTAAATATTCACTGTGCTGCTATTAAATTAAAGATAAAAGAGCAATAATATGAATAATGAAAGTAACAGCAGCTCCTACAAAACATTCCCTCCAATGCAAAATTAGGCATGAAAATAACTGAGGGAAATATCTATTTGCTAAGCCAAATCATATTCTTTTGGTTTCTCTGACCACTATTTTTAAAAATGCATTGAAACTACAAGTATCGATACCAAATGCTAATACTAAAAATGAAAGTATCAGTATTGGAATCGTTCTGGAAAAAGTGGTTTTGTGGCCGCCTCATTTTAACATTGGATTTTTAATATCAGAAAACTTTAAATTGTTACTGCCTTCCTTTAGTTATTATTTTGGAATAAATGTAAAAATGCTTAAAACACTAACTTGGTGAGATTCATATTTGGGTTTCATAAATAGAACAATACAAAACAAGAAGAAAAACGAAACCTAAAAATAGATTTGTATTTGATTTCTTTTTTGATGTAATGTAAAGTAATGTTTATTTAACCAGGAAAATGTGACAAATTAAGTTTAACTGGGACAGTCTATAGTGCAATGTCCATGCACTCAGTTAAATCTTTACTAATAAGGGCAACTAAATGGATTTCTTTTTATGTGAAACAGATTTATTTTCATTCTCTTAAATGAATGTGTGTGTGCTTTTGTACTAGTCACACTGGCTCTGGTCAGTTGCCAGACCCAAAGATATGTGCCAGCCTACAAGTTCTGGAAGCATGGCGAAAGGACCGGACAGGCCACATCCCCCACCTGCCTCCACTTTCTGCTTACTTCAGAGTCTGTGCCAACCTGCTGAAACCTGTTGACTAAATAGCTGGGTCTCACTGCATTCATACATCAGTGCCAGTGCCACTGCAATAGGGCACATAGGCTGCTAACTTTAATGCCAAGACACATTCATCAAGTCAGTCAGCAGCATCAGCTAATGCCAAATCTCTGTTGACTCCACCCTGACATGCTCACACACCCATTGCCCTCTAATCCTTCAGCATGAAACCCCATTATTATAGCAAGACTGTGAATTATTGAACAATGAGACAAAAGTGTCTATCCTGTTATTGTTGAGTCAAGTCAAGCTTACATAATAAGCAATGACAAATTGTGCAGAACAACCCGTCTGCATCATTCAAGCGTGAAATGTTTTCAAGAACATGTGCGGCTACCAGGCATCCTTCAGCAATCTGTGTTTGATTTTGAACATGAGAGAGACGCGGCATTGCCTTATCAGTATGACAGGATACAGAACAACAGAAGTACTTTCCATGAATTGAGGTTTGAAGAGATGGTGGACCAATAGAAAACAGTAACTTTTGATAAATGAATTATTCTGTATGGCATAAACCAGTTGTTGGTTTTATATACAGAGGGAATGTTCTTTAGAACAAAAAGCAGAAGACTGATACCAGTAAGAAAATCAAAACAGTTATAATATTACAAAGCATGTCTGATTATTGATTGAATACAATAATTTCAAAGAATGAGATAGATAGCTAGCTGGTATAACTGCTCTAAGCATCCATCCCAAGTTACAGTTACAAAAGAAAAAGTGATGGGAAGATAAACCAGGGATGATATTTACAGGGTCAGCCCATTGTTTGCTGTCAGGCGGAGATTGATTTCGAGTCCTGCACTGTCAACATAAACACATTCTTTTTCATCATTAAAACATTTAACCCATAAAGAAATGAACTGCACTTTTGAAAAACATATTTAAGTGCACTCACATGAGATGAAATGTCTGCTCATATTAGGATCCTACAAAAGCTGATTAATTTAACTTGGAGTGAGTCGCCTCATGAAGGCCGCCATGTTGAGATCACATGACCTGCTGAATATCACCAAAGACTATAATAAAACAAGACGCGTCAGCGTAACTCGTATTGTTTTGAATGGGTAAATGTGCAACGCTCAATATGGCGGAATAGGTCCCGCCTTCTAAACAAGAGCCAATCGCCGATAGGTAAAGCTGTCATGATTTGAGCGTTTAGAAACAATTTATGAGACAGTTGTTGTCCGATTTCATTGGTGATTTCAAATTTGAAATTTAATCGTAAGCTTGGAGAACAGTTTTGGAGAATTTGATGTTTCCCCATTCAAAGAGATAGGAGCTGCACTTGCATCGCCGAGAGGCGT